TGTTTTGTCTTTGTTTATCATTTAACATTATGTTGCTAGAGACTGTTATACTAATAGCAAGCAGATTATACATGTGTACTAAAATCTGTACTGTTACTTGCTATGTTTATTATTATTATAATATTATTATTATTATTATGATATTTATATAGCATCATCAAATTCCGCAGCGCTTTACAATGGGTGGACGAACAGACATGTAGTTGTAACCAGACAAGTTGGACACGCAGGAACAGAGGGGTTGAGGGCCCTGCTCAATGAGCTTACATGCTAGAGGGAGTGGGGTAAAATGACACAAAAAGGTAAGGATAGTATTAGACTAGTGACATTTGCAGAAGAGGAATCAGTCAGGAGCTATTAACAGTTTAATTGATATGCTTTTATGAAGAAGTGGGATTTTAACGATTTTTTGAAGGAGTGGAGACTGGGTGAGCATCTAACGGAGGAGGGAAGCGAGTTCCACAGGAACGGTGCAGCCCTCGAGAAATCTTGAAGGCGAGCATCAGAGGTGGGAGTACGGACAGAAAATAGACGTAAGTCTTCAGCAGATCGTAAGGGCCTAGACGGGACATACTTGTGTATAAGGGAGGAAAGATAGGTGGGAGCAGCATTATGTAGAGATTTCAAAGCAAGAACCAGAATTTTAAATTGAGTTCTATATTTTATAGGAAGCCAATGTAGGGACTGACAGAAGGGTGAGGCATGGGAGGTGCGGGCGGACCGGAAGATGAGCCTCGATGCCGCATTCATTATGGACTGTAACGGCACAAATTGGGAGCACATAAGACCACTGAGAAGCGGATTACAGTAGTCAAGGCGAGAAAGGACAGTGGAATGGACCAACACCTTAGTCGCATCTAGCGTTAAGAAGGGGTGGATGTGCGCAATGTTTTTGAGATGGAAATGACAGGATTTGGCTATAGATTGAACATGAGGCTTGAAGGAGAGGTCGGAGTCAAAGAGAACACCTAGGCAGTGAGCCTGCGTGGTGGAACTGATGGTAGCACCGTAGACTTGGAGGGAGACAGACACAGGAGTAACAACACTTGAGGGAGGAAAGACCAGAATTTCAGTTTTGGTCAAGTTTAGTTTAAGGAAGTGGGCAGCCATCCAGTTAGAAATATCAGAGAGGCAGTCAGATACACTAGTCAATAGGGACGGGGAGAGAACAGGAGAGGACAGGTAGATTTGCATGTCATCTGCATAGAAATTATATTGGAAGCCAAAGGAGCTAATGAGTTTACCAAGGGAGGCAGTATAGATGGAGAGCAGTAGGGGACCAAGGACTGAATCTTGGGGGACACCAACATAGAGGAGTTGGGGAGAAGAAGCAGAGCCAGAGAAAGAAACACTGAAAGAGCGCTGGGAGAAGTAGGAGGAGCACCATGAGAGAGCAATATCTTGTAGACCGATATTGCGGAGGATGAGAAGAAGCTGTTGATGTTCAACAGTGTCAAAAGCTGCAGACAGGTCAAGGAGAATTAGGATAGAGTAGTGACTGCGTAATTTTGCAGTGAGTAGATCATTGGATACTTTGGTCAGTGTCATTTCTACAGAGTGCTTAGCGCGGAAACCAGACTGAAGCAGGTCGAGCAGAGAGTTGGACTCGAGGAAGTCTGTCAATCTCGCATACACAAGTCGTTCAAGGATCTTGGATGCAAAAGGCAGTAGCGAGATAGGATTATAGTTGGATGGGGAGTTAAGGTCAAGTGTGGGCTTCTTTAGAATTGGGGTTACAGTTGCATATTTGAAGGGCGATGGAAATATACCAGAGGAGAGAGAGATTGATAATTTTAGTGAGAGGTGGAGAAAGAGAAGAAGACAGAGTTCGGATTAGATGCGAGGGAATTGGATTTAGGGAGCAGGTGGTGGGGCGGGAGGACTGGAGCAGAGCAGAAACCTCTTCCAATGTAGCGGGTGCGAATGAACATAGAACAGCAGCGGGAGTGAAGTTAGAAGGGTGAGACGTGGGAGGTTCGGGCGGACAGGAAGATGAGCCTTGCCCCCACATTCATTATGGACTGTAACGGTGCAAGTTGGGAGCACGTAAGACCACTGAAAAGCGGATTTCAGCAGTCAAGGAGAGAAAGGACAGTGGAATGGACCAGCACCTTAGTCGCATCAGGCGTTAAGTAGGGGCGGATGAATGCGCTAGCTGTTACGTTATGCTCTCGATCACCAGTTACTACTTACATAGACACTGTTCTGTTTTTGCATAAAAACCATTGCTCTCCTATTAAATGGTAGAAATCAACTTACACTGACAACCTGTGTCTGTGTGTCTGATTTCTTGAGCTCTCGATATTCTCTAATCTGGGAACCTTGAAGTATATTATTCAGGTCTTTTCCCTGACACTATGCAACAATTGTACTTTTAGTGGTTGACATAAGAGAAACTTTGCATGGTCTCAAGTCCACATATACCTCTGTAGCCAGAGTTACATAAGCCTATTCCACTTGTACCCATTGAGTATCACATCTTGCTGATTGTAGGTGTATAACCTGGGACAATAAGGTATTTGCATTTATATGGGACACCTAATCCTAGTAGTGTGAAGAAATAGGGTTATATTAGCTACTCTTAGACATTTATGCCACCAGGTAAACCTAGTGAATAGGAGCTGTATGGCTTGAAAGATTTATAAGTGGAATACATAGGGGAGTTTAGGTAATATCATCATTTTTATCGTGCTAATTGTAAGACAGAGTAATATGCTTCCAGGAGTGTAAGTCTGATTTAGTCCTATTTATGACTGGAACATAATTTAATTTATAAAGCAGGGGTGACCAAACTTCATGTCTTTAAGAGCATGCTCAAATTTAGAAATATTCAAGAGCCACAATTACATTTATTGAAGCATTCAACAGATTCAAATAGTGTCTCATTCCAAATATTGTCCCATGTGACTAATTTCCTTAGCCCCTCCATGTGTCTTATTTCTACAGCTTCTCCATGTGTCTCATTTCCGTCAGCACCTCCATTCAGGTGTTTCATTCCTTTCCTCATGTGTCCCATTCCCCTAGCCCCCCACGTGTCTCATTTCCCCCAAGCACCTCCATTCATGTGTTTCATTTCTTCTCCCATGAGTCCCATTCCCCCACCCCCCAATGTGTCTCATTCTCCCAGCCCCCACGTGTCTCATTCCCCTGCAGCACCTCCATTCATGTGTTTCATTGCCCCCTCACCATCTGTCTCCTTCCCTTTGCACCCTTATGTGTCTCATTCCCCTAGACCCACCATTCCCCTAGACCCACCATTTCCCCAGTTCCCCATATGTCTCATTCATTACCCCAGTCATCCATGGGTCTCATTATCCCAGTCCCCCCATGTGTCTTATTCTCCCAGCCCCCCATGTGTCCTATTCCCCCAGCTGCTAATGTGTCTTATTCCCCCAGCAAACCATGTGTCTCATCCCCCAGTTTCCCCATGTGTCTCATCCTCCAGTTCCCCCATGAGTCTTAATCCCTTTCATTTCTCCAGCCTTCTCATGACTGGGGCTACACAGGTCTGCAGCTCGACAATGCTACACGTAATGACTGGCAGGAGGGGAACACTGTGCAGTACGCACCCTTCCTGCAGGTCATTGTGAGCCCTAAGCTGGCTTCCTGTGCTACATTATGGTAGCAACGCCCTGCAAAGTCTCACAAGCTGCAATTTGGCCATGTCTGTTATAAAGCTGAGTGGGGGACTTTGAAAAATGTACCCCAAAATATTTTCTATAGTCCACACTGGTCATTGGAGTATGTGGCTTTTAGAGATGATAGGGCTAAGGAATTTAGCCCAACAGGCAACATCTGGGTTTTTGTGATACTGAGTTTATAATAGAAAAATTTGCCAAACATATTGAGCAAGGCATGCATTGCTTAGAGACATGTAAGGGGATTTGTTATTGATAATACAATGGCATCACTAAAGAGAATAAGTAAAAACTTTTGACTCCTAAAGGAGACTCCTGAAATATCTAGATGTTGTTGAAGTGCTATAGATAAGTAGCCTAAATCCAATATACACAGTAGGGGTGAAAGAGAGCACCCCTGCTTGGTTCTGTCAAGAATTGGAATGGGAGAGGACATAAAGGCTGAATAGTAATCTTGGGCTGAGGGCTGGGAGTTGCGTGTCAGTACAATGCAGATAATATCTCATTGTCATGTACTGCCAGTTTAGCCGGTCAAATACTTTTTCTGCATCCAAAGCCATAAGCAGAGTGCAGGGGCGGACTGAGAGCCTTTGGGGCCCCCGGGCAAAATTAGATCCCAGGCCCTTTGAAGGCCAAATATATGTGCATTAAATAAATGTTAAATATAACTCATAATACAGCATTCCTTTGGATGTGTATATTGTGAAGACCTGTGTATCAATGCATGTTTGTATTTGAGTCTGTGTGAATGCACTTGTGCATGTCGGGATGACTACATGTGCTTTTTTGTATATAGTGTCTGTGTGAATGCATATGTTACAGGTGACAGTGTGTGAGGGAGAAGGTGACAGGTGGAAGAGTGTGGGAGGTTGTGACAGGTGGCAGAGTGAGGGGGTACCTGGTGGCAGAGTGAGGGAGGGGTTGAGTGGTGGCAGAGTGAGGGGGAGACACAGTAAGTGGGGGTGACTAGTGACATAGGGAGGGAGAGGGGGTGACTAGTGACAGAGTTAGGGAATGGGTGACTAGTGGCAGAGTGAGGGAGGGAAGGGGTGACTGGTGACAGAGTGAGGGGATGACTGGTGACAGAGGGAGGGAGTGACTAGTGACAGAGGGAGGGAGTGAATGTCACTAGTCACTCCCTCCCTAACTCTGTCACTGTCACCCGCTCCCTCACTGTCACTAGTCACCCCCTCCCTCACTCTGTCACTAATCACCCCCTCTGTCCCTAGTCACCCTCTTCCACACTCTGTCACTAGTCACCCCATCCCTCTCTCTGTCACTAGTCACTCCCTCCCTAACTCTGTCACTGTGAAGGAAGGAAGGGGTGACTGGTGATAGAGTGAGGAGATGACTGGTGACAGAGTGAGGGAAGGGATGACTAGTGGCAGAGTGAGGGAAGGAAGGGATGACTGGTGACAGAGTGAGGGAATGACTGGTGACAGAGGGGGTGACTAGTGACCGAGTGAGGGAGGGAGTGGGTGACTAGTGACAGAGTGAGGAAGGGGGTGACACAGTGATAGTCACCCCATTCCTCCCTCTGTCACTAATCACCACCTCCCTCACTCTCACTAGTCACCCCTTCCCTCCCTCACTCTGTCACTAGTCACACCCTCCCTCTCTCTGTCACTAGTCACACCCTTACTCACTGTCACTAGTCACACCCTCTCTCTGTCACTAGAGTGAGGGGGTGACTAGTGACAGAGTGAGGGGGTGACAGGTGATAGAGTGAGGGATGGGGTGACTACCGGCAGAGTGAAGGAAGGGAGGGGTGACTAGTGACGGAGTAAGGGGATGACTGGTGACAGAGTGAGGGAGGGGGTGACACAGTCACGGAGGGAGGTGGTGACTAGTGACAGAGTGAGGGAGGTGGTGACGGTCACTAGTCACCACCTCCTTCACTCTGTCCCTAGTCACCCCTCCCTCTGTCACTAGTCACCCCTTCCCTGCCTAACTGTCACTAGTCACACCCTCACTCTGTCACTAGAGTGATGGGGTGACTAGTGGCAGAGTGAGGGAAGGAAGGCGTGACTAGTGACAGAGTGAGGGGATGACTGGTGACAGAGTGAGGGAGGTGGTGACTAGTGACAGAGTGAGGGAGGTGGTGACTGTCACTTGTCACCACCTCCCTCACTCTGTCCCTAGTCACCCCTCCCTCTGTCACTAGTAACCCCCTCCCTCACTCTGTCACTAGAGTGAGGGAAGGGGTGACTAGTGGCAGAGTGAGGGAAGGGGTGACTAGTGGCAGAGTGAGGGAAGGAAGGGGTGACTAGTGACAGAGTAAGGGGATGACTGGTGACAGAGGGAGGGAGGTGGTGACTAGTGACAGCGGTGATGACTGTCACTAGTCACTAGTCACCATCTCCCTCCCTCTGTCCCTAGTCACCCCTCCCTCTGTCACTAGTTACCCCTTCCCTCCCTAACTCTCTCACTAGTCACACCCTCCCTCACTCTGTCACTAGAGTGAGGGGGTGACTAGTGACAGAGTGAGGGAAGGGGTGACTTGTGGCAGAGTGAGGGAACTAGTAGAAAGTGAGAAGAGTAATGACTAGTGACAGAGATTAGGAAGGTAACTAGTGACAGAGGAGAGTGACTGAGAACTGATAGCAGAGAGATAGTGACTAGTGACTAGTAGTCATCCTCTGTCTTTTAGTCACCACCCCCTCCCTCTGTCTTTGGTCATCCCTGCCTCTCACTAATCACACCCCACTTCCCTCACTCTGCTGTCACCCCTTCCCTCACTCTGTCACTAGTCACCCCTTCCTTCCCTCACTCTCTCACTAGTCACACCCTCCCTCACTCTGTCACTAGAGTGAGGGGGTGACTAGTGACAGAGTGAGGGAAGGGGTGACTTGTGGCAGAGTGAGGGAAGGAAGGCGTGACTAGTAACAGAGTGAGGGAGGTGGTGACTGTCACTAGTCACCAGCTCCCTCACTCTGTCACTAGTCACCACCTCCCTCTGTCACTACTCCCTCCCTCCTTCTGTCACTAGTCACCCCCTCCGTCCCTTACTCTGTCACTAGTCATCCCCTCCCTCTGTCACTAGTCACCCCCTCACTCTAGTGACAGAGTGAGGGAGGGTGTGACTAGTGACAGAGAGAGGGAGTGTGTGACTAGTGACAGTAAGGAAGGTGATGACTAGTGACAGAGTGAGAGAGGGGGTGACTAGTGACAGAGTGAGGGAGGGAGTGGGTGACTAGTGACAGAGTGAGGGGATGACAGGTGACAGAGTGAGGGAGGTGGTGACTGTCACAGGTCACTAGTCACCACCTCCCTCACTCTGTCCCTAGTCACCCCTCCCTCTGTCACTGGTCACCCCCTTCCTCACTCTATCACTAGAGTGAGGGGGTGAACAGTGACAGAGTGAGGGAAGGGGTGACTAGTGGCAGAGTGAGGGAGGTGGTGACTGTCCCTAGTCACCACCTCCCTCACTCTGTCACTAGTCACCACCTCCTTCTGTCACTAGCCACCCCCTCCGTCCCTTACCCTGTCACTAGTCACCCCCTAACTCACTCTGTCACTAGTCGTTCCCCTCTCTCACTCTGTCACCAATCATTCGCTCACTCTATCACCAGTCACCCCTTCCTTCCCTCACTCTGCCACTAGTCACCCCTTCCCTCACTCTGTCACCAGTCATCCCCTCACTCTAGTGACAGAGTGAGGGAGGGTGTGACTAGTGACAGAGTGAGGGAGGGTGTGACTAGTGAGGGAGGGGGTGACTAGTGACAGAGTGAGGGAGGGTGTGACTAGTGAGGGATGGGGTGACTAGTGACAGAGTTAGGGAGGGAAGGGGTAACTAGTGACAGAGGGAGGGGTGACTAGGGACAGAGTGAGGGAGATGGTGACTAGTGACTAGTGACAGTCACCACCTCTGTCACTAGTCACCACCTCCCTCCCTCTGTCACTGGTCACCCACTCCCTCCCTCACTCTGTCACCAGTCATCCCCTCACTCTAGTGACAGAGTGAGGGAGGGTGTGACTAGTGACAGAGTGAGGGAGGGGGTGACTAGTGACAGAGGGAGATGGTGATTAGTGACAGAGTGAGGGAGGTGGTGACTGTCACTAGTCAACCCATCCTTCCCTCTGTCACTAGTCACCCACTCCCGCACTCTCACTAGTCACTCCATCCCTCTGTCACTGTGTCACCCCATCCCTCCCTCTGTCACTGTGTCACCCCATCCCTCCCTCTGTCACTAGTCACCCCATCCCTCCCTCTGTCAATAGTCACTCCATCCCTCCCTCTGTCACTAGAGTAAGTGGGTGACTAGTGACAGAGTGAGGGAGGGAGGGGGTGACTAGTGACAGAGTAAGGGAGGGAAGGGGTGACAGAGTGAGTGAGGGAGGGGGTTACTAGTGACTCAGTGGGGGGGTGACTAGTGACAGTAGGGGGGTGACTAGTGACAGTGACGGGGGTGACTAGTGACAGGGGGGTGACTAGTAACAGTGGGGGGTGACTAGTGACGGGGGGTGACTAGTAACAGGGAGTGACTAGTGACAGAAATTTGACTAGTGACAGGATGACTAGTGACAGGGGTGACTAGTGACAGAGGTGACTAATGGCACAGTGAGAGGATGACTAGTGACAGGGGTGACTAGTAACAGTGGGGGTGACTAGTGACAGGGGGTGACTATAGTAACAGTGGGGATGACTAGTGACCTTGGGGGTAGAGCTAGTGACAGTGAGGGGGTGACTAGTGACAGTGAGGGGGGATGACTAGTGACAGTGGGGGGGTGACTAGTGACAGTGAGGGGGTGACAGAGTGGGGGGGTGACTAGTGACAGTGGGGGGTGACTAGTGACAGTGAGGGGGGTGGAGGGTGACTAGTGACAGTGAGGGGGGAGGGGGTGATTAGTGCCTACCTGTGCTTCCTCTGCTCTCCCTGGCTGCTGCTCCTTCCCCTCGCTGGGCTCTGTGTGAGAGGAGTAAACAGGAAGTGATGTCACTTCCTGTCCCTCTCCCATCACACAGAGCACCGCGGGACTGGGAGAAGGAGACCTGGCAGAGAGCTGCTGAAGCTGCCAGGTCTCATAGGGGGAGATTTACAGGGCGGTAGGTTGTGGGGCCCCAAGCTGCATCAGGGGCCCCACAACCTATAAATGAAATAGTTTTCTTTTTTTTAATTTTGCCGTTCCAGTTGGAGAGATCTCTGATCTCTCCAGCTGGAGCAAGGCTGTGCTGCCGGGCCCCTGACTGCCTCGGGCCCTCGGTCCATGACCGATATGCCCGAGTGGTCAGTCTGCCCCTGGCAGAGTGGGTGTATTAGATGTGTGAATCACATGGAGTAAATTAAGTATCTTTCTGGTGCTATCAGAACCTTGTCTCGTCCGTACAAACCCAGTTTGGTATGATTGGATAGTGTTTGGCATAATGTCAACTAGTTTATTTGCCAAAAGCTTGACATATATTTTGGAATCACAATTTAACAGTGAGATTGGTTGAAAATTGGGGGCAGTGATACTGATATTTTTCTGGCTTAGGCATTTCAGACTGCAGTGCTAAGGACTCTTTCCCTCATTAAACACTTTTAACCAAGTAAGGGCCCAGACTGCTGACCCTTAATACGAGCTCACCCACTTCAAGGCAAATTAGACAAATTTATGTTAACCCTTTCACTGGAGTCTTCCTGTGTCTGTTTTGCAGTATCAAAAGGATTAAAAATGACTTGGCATGGTCAAATACCATGTAACCTGCTCATGCAATGCATGCTCTAGGCAAAAAAATATTAGACATATTATGAGGAATCCTTAGGTTTTTGTCAAACTGATTGAAAACTTTTTGACAAAAGCAGAGGCTCAGCATCTTTAACTTCCTCGCACTATACCCAATATAACAATGCAAATTGTTTAAGATATTTTAAATAGGTTACACTTGCCATGTCATGCCATTTATCATGAGCCACTGCTTGTGACAAGTGATGGTAAAAGTATGCTATAGATGGCTATGGCTCTCATTGAATATTTGGGCATAGAAACATAGAGGATCCTTTGTGTTGCAGGATCCTCAATGGACTCTAGTTCGCAATTCGTGCACATTAGTGAGAGTACAAAGATGATGTGGCTTAATGTAGCTATAGCAGTCTGATCTGAAGACCAGAACATAGTGGAGAGATAAGGGAGAGCTCTATATAATTCAATATATTCATTCTCTGTCCCTGGACACCACCATGGAAGGAGACATGTTACATTTAAAAAATAAAATGTGCAGATAGCACATATCACAGAGCCCCATTAAATGTGTGTTAATACTAATTTATGCTATTAGCTGTTTTATTATCAGACAGACAGATAGACAGACAGACGATAGATAGATAGATAGATAGATAGATAGATAGATAGATAGATAGATAGATAGATAGATAGACAGATAGATTTGCAATATTATTTATTTTGCAAGATAAATAAATGACCAACTTTTTTAAAACTATAGATACCTTGGATTTCTGTGCAGTGGTCCTAAAAATAAAAGCATTTAGACCTTTGACGTATCATTTATTCATTAATTATTTGCTTACATAGACATTATAGAGGGAAATAAGGATTTGTATTAAACAAAAAAAAAAAAATCAGTGGAAAATAGACATGTAATGCTGTCTATACCGAAAATATATTTTTACTAATAAACATGTACAAGAAAAGCTCACCAACGTAAGCTGATTTGAAAAAGCTAAAGGTTTTCCCCTTACAGTTCTATAACTGCTAATTCTCTATCAAGACGCAGCCAAGGAAGAAAAATTATTATGGCAGTGGGCAAGCATTTCCTTCATACCATGTGTGGTGGTGGGGAATGTGTGAAAAAAGAGGGGGTTTCAATATTCCTAATAACCAGGTGGTTCTAGGAAATGTCTCATATGCCAATTCTGCTTCTGCAGTACATTTAGTTAATAATAAGTAGGGACTTGCAACAAGAAGAAAAAAACATGCTCACACCCCATCCAATGAACTTTGATATGATAGCACTAACCCAGACTCACTTCATGGTATGAATGCTTCCTGTACTTTTCAGAGGTCCACAGCCTCCATGGAGGTACTAGAGACGGTGGTCCAACCTAAGATAAGATGCAATGTATGCCTTCTGATTTAACTGGGGTCTTTGGAATCTTATTTTTTATTATTTTAGCTGTTCATGTTGAGTTTACAGTAAGCTTGTTTATTTTTTAATTGTTGTTGAAATTTGCAAGCATATAATCAAACAATACTTAATTTAAAGAAATTATACTTGTTCTTCTATTAAAAGCTGTAGCACTTGTTGCACATTTCTATGGTTGCACTTCTCCACTTTTTCCAAATTTTTGTTTGCTTATATCACTATAGGAGCCACAGTGAGAAAGCAACACCTGTATTTTGCTATTGAATTTTCATTTTAAAGTACTGTTGTAACTCCTGCCTATATATATATATATATATATATATATATATATATCACAGGTTTGCTAACAACAATCTTACTTCATATCATAATCAA